GAATGAATGAATGAATGAATGAATGAATGAATAAATAAATAAATCTATATTATTATAACAAAGTCTCTCAGCAATTTACAACACAATATAGAATCAAAATCTAATCTATTGAATATAACAAGTAAAAGCAACTCTGAGAAAACACAGAAAGAGGGAATTTGTGGGATTTAAACACTTATTTTTGAGAAATATATTTCATTCTTTCCAAATGCATTATTGATTATTAAAATAGGATTGACTGCTCAAGCAATCCAAGTTGCCACTTATAGTGTCAATCTCACAGGCTTGCTCTGAATTCCTTGAAATACCAAGGAGAATTCTGTGAATGAGCATAGAAGCTTTGTAAGAAAGTTAAAATGAAAGTTGAATGTGGTTTCAAAGAAGAGCCAAAGGATAGGTGGAACTCTCTCTAACTGCAGCTAGAGATAATGGATAACCCTACACTACTGTGTGTGAAAAAAAGAAATGACTGCATGTGGGTATGGTTTTAAGACTTCAAAATGAAAAAAAGCTATTGGAAAGCAAAGTTTAGGAAGTACACTGATCATCACAATGAAAATTATTTGGCCATAAAGACAACCCTGAAAAATGTTGGGCTTGAAACTTTCTCAGGTTATGACAGCAGCATTTGGAAATCACTGTAATTTGCCCTCCCACATTCAGTCTGAGGTCAAAAATAAAATAAGTGATAAATACTTTTACAGGCTGCTTTTGCAAGCGGTTTAGCTCTGACTGGGATCAATCTCTTACCTTATTCTCAAACAAGCAACAAACAAAACAACCTTACCAACAATGATAAAAATGGTGGGCCATCATACCTGGAATCCTTCAGCTGGTTCTGTTTTGGCTTTATCTTGCAGAGTTCCTTCAAGTTTTACTTCTTTTTTTACTATTTCCTTTTCAGTTTTAAGGACTGCTGGTTCCTTGCTGTCAGATGCATCTGGTGGGGTTGGCTCAGTAACATGGCTCTGAGCAATAGCTGGTGCAGATGTAGGCCGTGGGCTTCTATCAGGTGTAACCACTGCTACTGCTAAGTAGAAATAGATATATATTCAAGTTATAGTACAGAACAGAATCAAGAAGAAAGCCACAGCACTGCAAAAGAAAGATATGGAAAGCATTTGGCATGTCTAAAGCAGAATTTATTTTAAATAATTTATGAAGAAAAATGTTAAGAAAAAAAATTAATACCATCAAGAGCCACGCATTTAATGTTAGTGAACAATACACTATGTAAAAGGCTTTTTTATTTCAAGAGTCACTGAAAAAAGCAGATAACTCTGGTGTGAATAATTACCACATGTAATATATCACCACCTGATTACTGCTATTAATCATAGTGATAAATGCAAAACAAGATCATTTGAGTTACTGAAACACGTGGAATCTTTACTAACTATAACAATTAAACTGAATAAATTAGTATTTTTGTTTCAAAGAGTGGCCCGGTTCCAATACTGACTACTTTTTTAAAAGCAATTTTCACACAGTTACAGCCCGGGTTACATGAGAAGAGTCTTTTAACAGCTTTCTCTCTCTTAAGAGGGGCAGTGAAACACATTGCGAATTGTGCTGCAACAATTGTGCTGCAACAATAAATTCAGATGGGGCCCCGAGAAAGCTAAGGGCAGCAAAAGAATGAGCGGCAATAGTATTTCATGCTACAAACATAATTTATTTCAGGTACCCAATTACCATTCAAAATTCTGTTATCTAAAAAGTTATATTGCCTCAAGTTAGACATTTTCAAAATCTAATTTAAAATCTGAGTACAAATTTCATCAATCAAGCATACTTGATCAACGTCAAATGACATTACTCAAGCTAAGAAATTTTATCTTTGACACAACCTTTTCTATATCTTGTTTTGGTTCTTTAACACTGAACTGGCAGTACTAAAGTGTGCATGTCTCCCTAACTCCCAAAGGCGTATACTTCTCTTCCTTTCCTTCAGTATGGATCTATTCCATGCTACCACTCCTAGTTCATGCTTATTCACACTGACAATGCGTTGTCCCAGAGAGGAGGAAAGCAGTGCAAAACATGCATATTGCCAAAATTAGAATAAAACCATATATAAACTCTGTTAGAGCAACTTTAATTGTGAATGCCCCCTTTCACAATTCCAAGTCTATCATGTAATATATTAAGCTTCTTAACAGTTCTCTACCATTATCATACTATTTTGTGGGTGTGCCATACTACTGGTAAGTGTTGATTGATATAATAAGTCTAGAGAATTCTCAGATAAATCAGAGAGAATGAGCGTTAGTCACTAAGGAAAATATATTAGTCACAAAACATAAGAAGTCACTACTGCGATACCTGACTCTTCCTGAATTGTTTCAAGTAATAGCGATTTTGGCTCTAGATCCTGTACAACTGATTTTTCTTCTTTCTCCTCTTCTTTTTTTGTGCTTATGTCAAGAACATGTATAGCTAAAAAAGTTATGAATGCATTTTAAAACTTCAAAGAATTAAAAAGAGAACTACTAGGAGCAAACTTGTAAACAGAATTTTGTGTCTTTTTCCAAGCTCACTCAGCTGTGGCCAGCTGTTTCTGCATGCAAATATATGCACAGACACATTGCTCCGCATTTTTTTCTAATGAAGCAGTCATCCAGCCCTAGAAAAAAGATGTTTCTAGGGCTGCTTCAAAAATCTGAAATGAGCTTGCAATTTGTCTTTAGACCACATCTAAATACAAACAATATTCAGTCTAATTGTTGTACTTGCTTTCTTATGCTTTCTCTATCCAGCTTGTTAAATGATTCACTAATGTTATCTTTTCACTGGTCCTAATAAAGGTATTGCTTAGCCATGGATTTAGGAGGCTTTTTCTTATAAACCAACACAGCACTTTTCTTTTTAAAATGATGGAGTTATATTGATATAGGCAGATTTTGCTTACATACATACAGAATTCAGTATTATACAAACTACATAATACAAAGTTGATACCACTGTTCTAACAACATATTACAATTTTGAAGGTTGATACTTGCCACCATTCTGCTACCTGAACACACAGAAAGAACAAGGGGCATGCGCTTGTATGTGTAGTATCCCGCTTTATTTATAAAAGGATACCACTCTCTCATTATATTTCTTCAGTCTTATAATGTAAAGTGTTTATAAAGTATGCTGAAACTGACACTTCAATTCCCAAAATCTAATTAGAAAGCTGAATTATACAACAGGAAATACATAAGGATAATCCTACTTCATCTGAACAATATTAAAATAAGCTATTTAGCAAATTGCTGTAAATATGTCCTATCAGTAAGAAGGATGGCAAAATGAAATAGCATTGTGAAAACAGCAGAACTGAGACTGAGTTCAATGCTTTCAAATATGTTCTGAAATGTGTGTCAGAAGAAATCTAACATGTTTTGTACAGGCTTTTCAAACCACATTACACTGTTATAGACAAGCTTAAGGTTTTGCAAAAATAGGATGAAATCCTCATGAAAAATAATGCTTAAATTAGAGCAAAAAAGCAAAGCTATCTTATAACTCAGGGCAAGTTTGAATATAACTTTAGGATTGCACAAATGACATTTCGAGCACAGCAGTTACAAACTACCCATACTGAAGAATACAGCTGACCAGTGAGATTGGAGAACTCCTTTGCAAAGACTTTTACAATAACCAATACAGAAAGTGGTTCTGCTTCAGTCACCTGGCACCTAAGATGCAAACTATTTTCTCAAATAACTGAGGTTTGCAATTCTATTGTTGATGCAACAATCCAAATATATAGAAGGGGCCATTTGAGTTCCAATCATTGAGGAACTCATTTTATTCCTTTATGAGATGGGAAGAAAAATATACACCAGAACATGTGAAGCATTTCAGAATCAGGTAAGGTGTCTCAGCTCACAAAAGGATAGAAAAAGCACCGCAGAGACAGGGACAGAGAGAGAATCAGAGCTACCCACAGTGATACCTGGCTTCTCCTGAAATTGTTCCACAGGTTCTGATTCCGGAACCCCAACCAACACCACATCCTCCTGCTTCTCCTCCTCTACGGGTTTGAACTGAATTTTTTGAGAGCCACGTTTAGCTGAAGAAATTGTGCACATGTTAAGGATATACGAAACATTGTATATAGAAAAAGAAGTTGCTAAATGTCAGTATAGATACAACTGCTTTGTTGATTTCTTCAATTTGATTTTCAACTGGCTTTAGTTAAAAGTAATTAACTCCAAATTTGAAATGGTCCTTAGAATGTACAGTTGTTAGCTATATTAGAAGAAGCATTGTTAAGTGTTTAAGGAAAATTTAAAAACCACTTTTATGAACATTTTAGAATTGTTTGTCCACATATTATGCCACTAACAAGGAAATCATTTCATGAGCCATTCATGTCACATAACAACAGAAGAAACATTGAGTCAAATAGGAGATCATGGTTATTTCCTCATGATCCCCTGAACGTGGAAAAGAACAAAGTTGCAGCAACTCCTAAGCAGTCAGGGTAAGGTAAAAATCAGATGTTAGTTACTGAGTTCCACATGTTTCCTCTGAACATTACATAATGAATTTCTGAACCCAATACCCATTTTATAAATCAACTGGTACACATTTAGGAGAGATATAACTCTGAAATCCAATTCAGTAAAATATGTAAACAACCAACTTATTAAGACTGGAACTTACAGCAAAGTGGAGAAAGTTTATGGTACTCACCACCATCAAGGCTTCTAGAAGCACGTTTACTTGCAGTCCGTTCAAACTGTGGTGCAGGTCTATCTATCAGAGCACTAGCTTGCCTGGTCTGAGCTTGCGTCCGACCACTGTAGCGAAATTTAGATCCCAGCACCAAGAATCTACTCTTGGGAAGTGCTTCGGTTGATGTTAGTCTAAAAGGTACATGCATATTCCAATGTTATTAATTTCCAACCAAGGAAATGATTCCAACTCAAAAAAATGGCAGCTACTCAATAGTGAGCACTACCTTAATTGTGGCCTTAAATGCTTTATTGACCTATGAGTACTATTCACATCCATCAGCAGGAACCCCAAGGCACAAGCTGTCTGTGAGGCTGTGAGGTAACAAATGACCAGAATTCACTCTATTCTTTAAAGATAAATATGGATCTGAACAAGATGTTCCTCATTCATTCAGGATACTATCCAATATCACACTGTGACAAATTACTAGCTTTGCTATGGTGCAATAGTGCTATGCCAAGCCTTAAACTAACCCCATGATGAAGGGCCTGACTAAATGGAATTTAGCTTTGTTTTTCTATCCCATGCAGTCCTATTCACACAATGCCACAACTGCTGAAAACTAGACTGTGCCTCAATAATTCCATCCAGGGTCATAAGGAGAGAGGATTTAACCATTTCTGATTTGGTGGCTAGACCCAGGATATCAGAGATTATGTACTTTTCTTGATTCAGCAAAAAGACTGGCTTTCATTTATCCTTGTATTCTATCAAACTGTGGACAATGCTATTTAAAAAATAAGAGCAACATACAGGCAGGAGATCCAGATGATCTTTCTCCAAATATATTCCCTGCAATGAATCCCGAACATAAACTGAAGCTTAAAATTTTGTTCGAGGAGAGAAAAAGTAACCAGCTTTGTCAGACTGGCTGTATTGATTTTACTTGGAATTCTGTGTGATTGTTGCATTTTTTTGTTTTCTTAAATTTCTGTTTTCCAATTTTTAAAAAATATTTAGAGATTTGGCTTCACTGATTTAATGAGGAAATTTCTCATGAAAGCCTTCCTTACATGTGAGACTGCACAGGAGTACAGCTTTCCCTTATAAGATATGCACAAGTTATATTACATTCTAGAATTCTGGGCTTTGGGCAAGAAATTTTAAAGTATCTCCCTTTCCAGTTTTTCTATGCTTAGCTGAAAGGAGAAGTGTTTGGTAGAAGGACTAAGAACTCTTACTTGGGCAGATCAAATTGTATAGGAGACCAGGCCTGATTGGCAAAACCCTTATTTGGAGAAACTTTGGAAACAGGGGCTACTTCCAGGCTTGTAAACATTACACATTCTGAAGTAATGGAATATCATATTAACACAATTCATTCTTATTATGACAAAGGTTGACACTCTATGTTTAGTTACTCATTTATGAATATAGACAATGCCTGAACAATTTTAGGCAGCTCAGAACTTTTTGTGTTCCCTCCCCTCAGCTCTTTGACTTTTTCCCACTTTTATCCCACCAACCCCCATTCAGCCTGAAACAACTGCTTTTTGTTCCATTTTAGTAACAAAAAAGTTCCATATTGTTTTACAAATAGACAAAAAAATTGGAATACAAGTAGTCCTTGCTTAACTATGCTAACTAGGACTGGAAACTCCATCATTAAGCCAAGCAGACAGAAGCCAAAAAACCATGTGACTGCACTTAGTAACAGCAGTCCAGTTGCCATTGTTAAGCAAGGACTGCACAGCTCATTAAGGGAGAACTTCACGTGACCGCAGCTTACAACTTCCTGCCATGCATTGACTTTGCTTGTCGTAAGCCAGCAGGGAAGGTCACAAATCGCAATCACTTGACCAGGGAATTTTTAAAAATAATTATTGTATTTATATAATTGTTTTTATTTGATTGTTGTATGCCACTCAGAGTAACTTCTTGTGAGATGGATGGCTATACAAATTCAATAAATAAATAAATAAATAAATCACAGTCGCACGACTGTGGGGACAATGCAGTGGCCATAAGTATGAAGACCAGTCGTAACTACTATTTGTTCAGCACTGTGGTAAGTTCAAACAGTCACTGAACAAGTGGTCGTTAAGCCAGGACCACCTGTATTTGTGTATTGGTTAGGACAAGGACTACCGATACTGCTCTTCCATGCTTGGGATGAGTAGTGTATAGAATGTTTTGTACATCCCTTGTGAGGACAACAGAAGAGTCTTTGCTAACTATGTTGACCTACTTTCAGAGACAAATACTGGGAAATCAAAGCAACCTGCAACCAATAGCCACTGGCCAATTAGGACTCTGAAGGTCTGAAGTAAGAGACCACACTTGATCTCATCCAACTCAGATCAGAAGTAGATTTAGCAGAAGTATACCTATAAACACCATTTCTAAATTAGCCTGCAATAAAAAATATAAATACAAACCTGAAAAATGTGTGATGCTCAACACAGACTTTCCATAATTTCTTAGCTGCCCGATAACTAGGAAGTTTGAATCCAATAGTACTTTCATATTGTTCATGCTATAGAAAATAATGTAAGAGTAAGTTCGATTAGCACAGAAGATATACACTGGATTAAACTTGTATTAAAATTTAAAAATATTTTGATTGAATTTTTAAACCAATAAAAAAAATAACAATTAAGAACAAAGCCAGTAAACTTAATTTCATTTAAGCTATTATTGACAAAGCTAACCAATCTTCATCATCATCTAAACAAAGGAAAGGAAAAAACAATGGGAAATTGAGGGGAAAAAACCCTGAAAAAATAAAATAGGGAAGAAAAAGACCAGTCACCTTCTCTCAGTTCAACTCACCTCATACAATGGTTATGGGGGAAATAGGAGGAGGGAGCATTATGCACACTGCCTTGAGTTGCACAAAATAAAGGTGGGACAGAAATCAATTAAATAAAAATATAGAAAATAAAGTAAACCCTAAAAAACATTTTTAAAAACTTTCTATTGTGTGGCTGTGTTGAAGTTATATTGGCTTCATTGCATGAAGTAACCATTGTTATAGGAAAATGAATGCTTCATTCTTACCATTTAGCAAATCAAATAGCTTTTGCAAAGGTACCCCCTTCGCTACGATTAAAATAGATACAACCCTATTTGAAATTGTTAAAAAATACAATTCTTAAAAAGCATTTTCCCACAGCAGGAAAATGCAATATGATCTTACATTAAAATCACAGCATGGTTTGGTCCAATTTTAATAAAACGAGATAACTGACACATTTCTTAAATGTTGACAACAAATGCAGATTCAGTGGTAAAATACGCTATTATGAATGTATATGTATATCATAAACATATATATCTAAACCTAAAATGAATATTTACTCTTCAAAACTAGCAACATCATGTCCATATTACAGCAAGAACTCTGAATTCATCCAAGACAAGTTCATTTGATACAGACTGATGTATGTCTAACATGAAATGCAACTCAGCATAGCAGGTGCTTCTAATCAATAGCCAGAAAGCCACATTTCAAACTATTTGCACTATTCAACCCAAGCTCAAGGACAGTTTCTCATAAAAAGCCTCAAAGGA